TGAGTCATGCTGGTATGTGGAGTGTTCTTCATGAAAGGATCTTTTCTCTGGCTCTGATCATGTGGTGACTGTCCTTTATTAACACAGTGTATTACATCCATTGTTACATAGCTGAACCAACCTTGCATTCCTGGAATAAATCCCAGTTGGTCACGTTGTATAACTCTGCTGGATCAGCTCCCTACTAATGTGATTGGAAAAGCAGCTGAAAATAGCCAAAGTGCTTAGGCCCTTGTCACAGAGGTTGGAGACCAAAGATGAAGCTCTTGGCTCCCAGTTTCAACCTGGGCCAGACCTACCCTTGTAGCCACTTGGGGAATAAACCAACAAATGGGTCTCTCTATCTCTGCTTGTTACTCTGCCTTTCAAACAAATAAATCTTCAGAAAAAAAGGAACCATGAAATATGTTGCTGAATTCAGTTTGCTAGGATTTTATTGAAGATTTCTGCCTACAGTTTCCTTATGAAATTGTGTTATGGTATCAGAGCAACACTACATAGTATTGGTCTCATAGAATGAGTTAAGTGCCCCCAGCCCACAGTTTTTCAAGAACTTAAGGAGCTCTAACATGGTACAGTGGATCAAGTTATCAACTAGCCATGCTAGGTCTGGTTTGACAGTCCCCTGGTAATACACTTGGGCAAGCAGGGAAGACCACTCCTGGCCTTTGCTTGGCAGTTGCTGCCACTTGGGGAGTGAAGCAGTGGATGGAAGACTGATTCCTGCCCTTCAGATTCACAAGAAGCTCCTTAAAAAAGACTAGGGGGGCCTGGTGTGGTAGGCTACTGATTAAAATCCTCACCTTGGCACATGCTAGGATCCCATATGGGTGCTGGTTCGTGTTCCGGCAGCCCCACTACCATCCAGCTTGTGAGCTGGGAAAGCAGTCAAGGACAACCCAAAGTCTTGGGACGCTGCAACCGTATGGGAGACCCAGAAGAAGTCCTGGGCTTCACATCAGCTCAGCACTGGCTCGGCAGAAGGATATCTTCCTCTCTGCCTTTCCAATAAAAATAAGTAAGTCTTTTAAAAAAATTTCTGGGGATGCTACTTAGTAGAATTCACCAATAATGTCACCTGGTTCTATGCTTTTAAAGATTTATTGTTACTGGAAAGGTAGATTTTACACAGAAGGAAAGACAGCTGGTTCACTCCCCAAGTCACTGCAATGACCACACCTGAGCTGATCCAAAGCCAGGAGCCAGTAGCTTCTTTTGGGTCTCCCATGTAGGCTGTCCTCGATTGCTTTTCCAAGCCACAGGCAAGGAGCTGGATGGGAAGTGGAGCAGCTGGGCACGAACTGGCACCAATATGGGATCCTGGCACATGCAAGGCAAGCATTTAGCCACTAGGCTACCATGCCAGGCCCAGTTCTACACATTTCCTTATGAGATTCTCTTAAAAAGAGATCCAACTCTTAAAATTCCTCTAACCTACAAGAAGATACACAGAGGAACATTAAATAATGTTCTTGCTTGGGTTTTAAAAATAGGCAATGTAGTTGGTATTGTATTACAATAGATTAAACCTCCACAGCATGGAGTGCCAACTCTACTTCCCGCTCTTCTGCTTCCCATCTAGCCTCTTAAGTGTTGGGAAGGCAGGCAGGTCACCCAACAAGACACCTGAAAGGAGTTCCTGGCTCCAGTCCAGCCCTGTCCTGCCTGCTACAGCCATCTGAAAAGTGAACCAGCAGACAGACCTATCACTTTGCCTTTTAAATAAATATCTTTTTTAAAATGCAAACAAACAAGGTTAGCACAGTGGCACAGCCTGCCAAGCTACCACCTGCGACACCAGTACCCCACACAGGGGCCAGTTGGGAGTTTTAGCTGCTTCACTTCCAACCCAGCTGCTGGCTACTGTGCCCAGGGAAGCAGCAGAACCCTTTTATCCACGTGGGAGACCTGAGTGACACTCCAACTGCCACCTAGCCCAGTCTTGAACCAGCAGACAGAGGGTGTGTGTGTGTCATCTTCTCTCTCTGCCTTTCAAATAAATCTTTTAAAAAAGAAAAAGAGAAGGCCCGGTGCGGTGGCGCAAGTGGTTAAAGGTCCTCGCCTTGCACGCCCGGGATCCCATATGGGCACCGGTTCTATCCCGGCAGCCCCGCTTCCCTTCCAGCTCCCTGCCTGTGGCCCGGGAGAGCAGTCGAGGACAGCCCAAAGCTTTGGGACCCTGCACCTGCGTGGGAGACCCGGAAGAGGCTCCTGGCTTCAGATCAGCTGTTGCGCTCACTTGGGGAGTGAATCATGGGCCGGAAGATCTTCCTCTCTGTCTCTCCTCTCTGTATATCCGCCTTTCCAATACAAAAATAATAAAAATAAATCTTTAAAAAAAAAAGAAAAAGAGAAAAAAAGGCAAAGCATTTCAAAAGGCAGTCTTTTCATGTAAGCTAAAATTTTAAGCTATTTTAAGCTCCCTGCCCCCCCTTCTCAAAAAAAAAAAAATCCTTAAAGAAAATAGGAGTTAAGTTTCATGTTAACATTAAAGAGTTAGCGATATCTCACAACCCTGAGACCCTCACTGGTAAGGACCTCAGGGGGTCCTACCTTCCCCATTTCACAAGGTCACAGTCAGACAGGAGTGCAGGCACAAGTTAATGACCTGCCATCCAGGGCAAATGCCCAATTTCTGCTGCATTTCTTCAGCGATAACAACATCCTCTTTGGATTGCTGAACAAACAGAATGCACATGAACAGATTGATAGGGTCTATTTTATGACACACATGCAATATCAGCAGTGATTTCTGCTGTTACTAGATATTAAAATAACTTTTGTTAAATTATAATTGTTCCAAAACTGAATTTTCACATAATTTAAGCCTTATACTGGAAAGGAAGGAGGCTGATTCTAGCCATAGGTAAATCATTTTACCACTACTTTTTGTACCTTTTCACTTCATTAGCATGTTTGTCCATCTTACCAAAAGACAAGCACTTAAAGGGGATGAAGGAGACACAGAATTCCAGGGACCTATACTATAAACGATCACCCATTTAAAATTACATCTGGATCTATACTGCTTTATTTACACTTATCATTTCAATTTCCACCGCAGGAACATTATAATTGATTTCCCCACTGCATTTTATTTTTTCTGTAAACCAAGGAGGCTGAAGATATGAGTACTCAAAACACGCTGGGGATTCTCAGAATTTGTTGGGAAACAAAATCCTTAATTTTTACAGTTCACAGTTAAGCTTTAAAAATCCATTTGTTGGCTTAGTTTTACAGTAAGCTATGTAGATTACAATTATGGGCCTTTTTATTGTTTCTTAGGAGCTAACGTGAACTAGTTCATTATACTTCAAAGCTACCTTCACATCCCGGCAAATCATTTGCACTTCCCGATTGTCTGCTAAAGATGAGGCATGAAGGAGACTCTTAGACCCATTTTCAAGATGTGAAAACCACAGAGGTTCAGAAGTTGGTTACCACACTAGGCCAAGAACTCCGGTTTATGAGCCTATATGTATGCTCACCAACTGCCGCTTCCAGCTATCTCACCAAGGCAAAAGGAACTCTGCTAACTAAAAGGATGCAATAACGACGGCCCAAACTGTAACAACTGTTTGCTCCTGGGGCCCCTGGAAGATAATGCAATCATGGAACTGCCCAGTTAAGATAGTAAGGTGGGTGGATGCTGACACCCACTTCCAGATAGGATGGAAAATTTTAGTTGGGGACATTCACTCCAGTGCAGTTCCCAAGGCCTTGTCACGATCCAGTTACCTGGTTGTTGCAAGGGAAAACTCCCGCACAGGTAGGGCTCTTGCTTCTGGAGCCTTCACTACACTGAAGGCACACTCCTGCGGCCCTTCCACTCTGCTGGAGAGACAGACAATTCTTAACCCTAAAGCAAAATTTTATTAAGCAAAGCTTTCCAAATATCCTAAATTTGAAAAAGAAACTTAACCAGGATTCACCTTTGCCCCCAGGCCTTCAATATTCACTCTGCTTAACTTCCCTCAACCATTACTGTCTCATACCAAATAGCAAATCCACCGACTTCAATTTCATCACCACAAAATGCACACAGCATGTCCTCGGGAAAAAAAGCCTTAAGTCACCTCCAAAGACCACAATGCCAGGGTGGTGGGCCGAGGCATTCACCCTATTTTATGGGGCAATTACCATGCATTTCCTGTCTCATTTACACCTATCCTAGGGACCGGGCACAAAGGATAAGAAATAGCACTCGAAGTTCACAGGCCTTGGTCTGAACCACTAACACCAAAGGTGCCTAGCCCTCAATCATAATCCCAACGCGGTGATTAACACGAAGGCATGACCTTGGGCCAGTCATTTCAAACCTCTCTAGGCCTCTAGCTCATATTGAAAGAAGAAAAAAAAAAAAGAAAAAAAAAAAAAAGAGCTTCCTCCTATGGTTCTCCAACTTTGCGACGTCCTGCACAGCCCTGGTTTACTCCCCACACCACAGTAAGGTGGCTCCAGTGCACACGGCTGCAACTTTTTTTCCCCCATCACCACTGCTTGTTCTGGTACATTCTCCGCACTCTGCAGGGTGCTCCTAGTCCAGGGTTGCCTCTCGGCTCTCATTTTTCAAACACTGAACCTGTGCCGATAGTTCCCATTTATTCACTCTTCGGTCCACTAGTTCCCCGTTCCCGCACGACTACTAGGCCCAACCTCACTCCAGACCTCGACCCACGACTCAAGCCCACCTAGAGACCGCCCAGACAGAAAGCCCTAGAAGCAAAGCCGCAGGACTGAGCTCGCTTCCCCGGAGGTCAACCAAGGCCCCCCAGGGCACCTGCCACGCCTCCCGACCCCCGGCGGCGAGGCTTTCGGCCAGGCTCCGCCAACTCCAGCAGGGCCTCGCCCCTCGCGGCCGCCCAGGGCCTGGGCCCTGCAGAGCCAGCCCGACCCCTGGGCCCCCTGCCACACCCGACCCTTCGGCCGCGGCGGTCCCTTCCTCAAGCCCCCAAGATCTTCACAGGCCGCGAGGACCGGAGACAGGCCTTCCCTCTCACCTCCGGCCAGTGATGCCGACGCCTTCCACCCACACGCCCGGCCCCGCGCTGCAGGAGAGACGGCGGCAGAGGAGAGCCGACCGTCACGTGCCGCAGAACCCAGAGGCCTCGGCCACCGCGGCCGCGCGAGCGACCCCACCGCGCGAAGCCCGGCCCAGCGCCCGCCCCTCGCTGTTGAATAGCTGCGACGAGCGCCAAGCCCCGCCCCACCGCACAGGCTCCGAGATCCGGTTGGTCGATGTGGCCGTCACTTCAGGCACCTTCCCATACGCCCCCTAGGGCTATTCTTCGTGGACTGCGGGGATTGGTCTAGAAGGAGGCAGGAAGTGGCCGTTGGTTGGCCACAGGACGTGAGGGCGGGCTGCGCCTGGAAGCCCCAGGCGCGCGCGCGCGTCGTGGGCGGGATGGTCAGGCCCGGCCTTCCCGCGTCGCGTTGCCGTGGTGGCTCAGTGGGCGGGCTGGCCGCCTGGTCTGTCCGGCCTGAGGCTGCTGTGCGAGTGTGTGCGGTCTTCGGAGCTGGGAGGCGGCACGGGCTTCTCGTGCCCTTCTGTGACGGGGCCAGAAAGGGGCAGGAGGCCGGGTGGGTCATCCGGAAGGGCCAGTGCCGCTGCAGCGCGAACGGACCCTGACGGGCCCCGGTGCGCCCTCCTCGCCCGTCCCGGAGTGGTCCGCATTGCGCGGTGCGAGCTGGCCCCTCGGTTCCTGCACAGTCATCGCTGTGCGCCCAGGCGCCTCACCGCGATACACAGCCCGAGTAGCGCGGCACGAGGTTTATCTGGCCTTGCCTTGCGTGTTGTTTTCAAAGGCGAGGTTGAAGACGCAGAGGAAGAGGGTTGAGAGAAAAGGATGGCGCCCAGGCAAAGGTTGTGAAAGACGCCACCATCTTTTGTAACCCGCTCAGGAAATGGAAGTGGCCCTGGATTTTTCCTCGACCTTTGCAAGGCCTGCAGTACTCTGGATCCTAGAGTATTAAGAAACTACAACCAGCAGGCGTGTCGCCTATAAATAATGGCTTTATTCCCTGGAAGGGGAAGACACAGGTTGTGATCTGGGTTTGGTTGTGTGAGCTTAGTCTCTTGCAAATCCCAGCACCCACATTTGTGTAAAAATTCTGCTTGCCTGATTACCTGGGGAAGTGGATGTAATCAAAGCAGATTAACATTCTGAATGCCACATGTTCCAAGCAAGGTGCTTAAAATGTAGTTATGGCTAACTATGAGGGATCCTGAGAAATTTCACGGACGTGCTTAGGAAAAAACCATGTGTGAGTTCAGAAAAATGTTCCAATAGAAATAAAGTTTAAAAAACAAATGTAATTGAGGGGGATCAGTACTGTTGGCCTCAGTGGGGTAAGCCCCCCCTTTCCCAACCCCCACCTGCAAAGCAACGCCACCGCCACCGCGTATGGAGGCCTGGTTTCAGTCCCAGCTATTCCATTTCCCATCCAGCTCCCTGCTAATGGGCCTAGGAAAGCAGCAGAGGTTGGTGCAACTGCTTGGGCTCCTGCACCTGCCTGGGAGACTGAGAAGAAGCACCTGGCTTCTGCCTGTCCCAGCCAGTTGGCCATTGGGCGAGTGCACCAGAGAATGGTAAATACTCTTTTTTTCCACCTGTTAGCAACAGAAGGCACATGTTCACGTCCCAGATGCTCACTATGGCCAATCCAGCCTGGTTGTCTTCTCTGTGGGTTGCAGGGCCCCACCCATGAGCTGTTTACAGGTGTACATTAGCAGGAAGCTGGAATCCGGAGCAGAGCCAGGACTCAAAACTCAAGCACTCCCTGTGAGAGGCAGACAACTCACAGATAAGTCCAACACCTGTCCCCTAAATTGATCTTCTAATTCCATGTCTCAGTGAACCCTTTGAAGTACTTTTTGTTTGTGAGCAGGACACATTCCAGCAAAGGAGGAAGGTACAGGAGAGAACTGATGGGGTCCTGAAGGGAAAAATTGCTCTCCTCTAGGTTGGTCAAGGAAAGGAGCTAGATTTGGGCTGGACCAGCCTGGTATGCTAGTTTTGTATAGATGGACAGCTGGAGGACAGCCTCTTTTTTTTCTTTAAAATTTATTTATTTATTGGAAAGTCAGATATATGGGGAGGAGGAGAGACAGAGAGGAAGATCATCCGTCCGGTGATTCACTCCCCAAGTGAGCGCAACAGCCGATGCTATGCCGATCCAAAGCCAGGATCCAGAAACTTCTGGGTCTCCCACATGGGTGCAAGGTCCCAAGGCTTTGGGCCATCTTCCACTGCTTTCTCGGGCCACAAGCAGGGAGCTGGATGGGAAGTGGAGCTGCCGGGATTAGAACTGGTGCCCATATGGGATCCTGGTGCATGCAAGGCAAAGACTTTAGCTGCTAGGCCACGCTGCCATGCCTAATGGAGGACAGCCTCTTTAGATGGGAGGGGAGGAAGAGGCACACACAGGCAAGAAAATGGGTATTGCATGCTTGGGGACTGTGTCTCAGGATGTGGGTGGCGTGAATGGCGGGAGGGCAGTTCAGAGTTGAGTTCAGAACAGCTCTGGAGACCCTAGCCAGAGAGATTTTAGATCTGCATCTTGATTTAGATGTTTAAGAAAATATGATTCCAGGGAACTCTGAAAGGAAGACTGTCAGATTTTGAGGCCAGCTGGAAAGCCATCTCTTGAGGCTGATAAAAAGAACAGGTTTAAGGAAGGCCAGATTATATAGAAATAAATCCAGAAAGTATTGATGTTACAAAGAATAGCCCATTAGAGTGAGGCAGCTAGGCAAAGAAAATTCCAAACCAGCACTGAGCTGAGGCTGGGAGGCTGGAGGTGAAGCCAGAAGCCCCCAGGCAAGGAGTTCTGGGCCTGGGCCCAAGCTGGAACAGGGGTGTGACAGGAATTTGGGGGCTTAAGTATATAATGTTCCTCAGAGGAGAAAACAGAACAGAGCCTTGAGGAGTAAGGTTTTTCCTGAGCTACCTAAAAGGTAATTTGAGGTATTCAGTTGTTTTATTGACAGAAATTGTCATTTTCTAGATTTAGATGTAGAAGTAGGAGATGCAGTTAAATATATTTTGATTTATGATATAATCTGCAAGATGGTTTTCCAAATACATGATTTATATTCATGTGCATATTCTTTAATGCAGCAATTTCCACCCCGGGAATGAATACTATCTCTATAATACAAAAGTTCTGTGTATAATTCACATGTATTTTTTTTTATTTGTTTGAAAATCATTTTTACAGAGGGAGAGAGAGACCATCCACCCACTGGTTCACTGTCCAGATGCCTACGAGAGCCAGCACTAGGCCAGGCTAGAGCCAGGAGCCAGCAGCTTCTGCTGGATCTCCCCCTTGACCAGGAGGGGCCAAGCCCTCGGGGCATCTTCTGCTGTTCTTTCCCAGGCCTTTGCTGGGTCAGAAGTGGAACGACCAGGACATAAATAGGATGCTGCAGTCATAGATGGAAGTTTTACCCACTTACACCACAGCACTGATCCCTCTCTGTCTTTCTTCCCTACTGATAATCAACAGGTCATTAGAATACATCCACTATATACACTATGCTTATGTGTACAATATACAGTGATGTGCATTGCAGCTACTGTTTATAGCAATATCACAGTGCCAGCTACAAGTTTATCTTCCATCATAGAAAACTGCTGAAATAAAAACAAGTCTTCCAGGCCTGGTGTGGTAGCCTAGTGGCTAAAGCTCTTGCCTAGCACGCTCTGGGATCCCATATGGGTGCCAATTTGTGTCCTGGATGCTCTAATTCCCATCCAAAGCCTTGGGGCTTGGTACCCGGAGGGTGGCAGACCCTGAGGAAACTCTTGGCTCCTGGCTTCAGATTGGCTCAGCTCCGGCCATTGTGGCCACTTAGGGACTGGACGGAAGATCTTTTTGTCTCTCTGTGTCTCCTTCTCTCTGTATATCCGCCTTTCCAATAAAAATAAATCTTAAAACACACACACACACACACACACACACACACACACACACACACACACACAAAATGAAATTCAGGCTTCCATAACGTGGTTCTGCGTTGTGCATGAGGTGATCGTGTCTCAGCCTTTTGACTAGGATCAAATGAGCAGCATGAGCTGAACACAGACTGGCAAACAGGTAATACGCGCAAAAGTGCTGAATAAAGCAGGCTTCCTTTCACACTAAAGACAGACATGTTTCCCATAAATAGGAGCTCAGACAAGCAAGCTTACTGGAAAGATGCACAAACTGCTAAAGGCAGCTGAAGCCTGGGGTGAGGGGCCTAAGACTGGGAGCATGGGGGGACATTTGTAACCTACATGTATGACTTTAAAGAAATCAATAAATCCAACATTTGTGCTTAGGCTTCTCTTTTTTTTTTTTTTTTTTTTTTCTCTCGAGACACACAGAGAGAACTCTTACAAACAATAGCTGGGGTTGGGCCCAGGGCAGAAGCCAGGATCTCAGTAACCTAGGCCTGCCACCTGAATGTTAGGAACTCAAATACTTACACCATTGCCACCCGGGCTGGAAGCTGGAGTCAGGAGCTGAGTTGAAGCACGCCCGTGTGAGCTATGGCCATCTTAACCACTAGGCTAAACACTCATTGTTGTGCCAGATTTTGATATCCCCAGAAAATCATCGAGTCTGAAGTCGGTGCTAAGGCATAAAGGTGGTTTATTCAGGTTAACCTAGGTCTCCCAGCCACCTCCCCCAGGCCAGTGTAGCTGTTAAGGTCCTTACCTTGAACGCACCGGAACACCATATGGGCACCGGCTCTAGTCCTGGCAGCCCCACTTCCCTTCCAGCTCCCTGCTTGTGGCCTGGGAAAGCAGTGGAGGACGGCCCAGAGCATTGGAACCCTGTACCCATGTGGGAGACCCAGAAATAAGTTCCTGGTTCCTGGTTTTGAATCGGCACAGCACCTGCCATTGTGGCTGTTCGGGGAATGAACAATCGGACAGAAGATTTTCCCCTCTGTCTCTCCTCCTCTCTATACATCTGCCTTTCCAATAAAAATAAAACAATCTTTAAAAAAATAAATAAAATAAAAGGATCTGTACTTCCCAAATAAACCGGAACTGCTGGACAGAACCCCTGTCCCTCTCTTTGTCTCTCGTGTTCAGGGAGGCTGGGTGGCGGGCAGCAGGCTCACCCCCTCCGGCAATGGGG